GCCATTCGTGTAAAAATAATAAAGGCGGACAGGTGTTCGCCGTGTCCGCGCGCCATCGAGGCTTGTGATCCCTAATTCGAGCGACGATGGCATAAATTATTCATAAAGAGAAAATTTGTTTTATTCGTTCGAAATATACTGGCACGTTCGCGCACGCGGTTCCAAAATTTTGAAAGTATAATGAGATGAAAATATCACCGACAGAAGCTCAATCAGCGCGAAACGACGCCGCGCGAAAATTTCAGACCGTCGTTCTAACGCTTTACAATTGATTTAACGGAATGTTGTTCTTCGAAAGATCGCAAATGGAATGAAGTAAGATTTGTTCTCAAGATACGAAATGAAACGTTTTGTTTCTACGATCTAATATTATGATGGTTATTTTAAGTACTAATTACGTTTTAATATTTAATATGATCGAAAATTATCTTATCTAAATTACAACAGCGGAAATATCTTATATGTATCTCTTGTAGCACGAAATTATTTTAACGTATATAGACTATCATTTGATGATATCATTATGATCTAACATGAATCTATCACAATTAATTTTCGATTTTCTCTGTTTCAAATTTAAAATTAAATTCTATAATGTAATATAAAAATTTTACTTTTTTAAAAATTTTAGAAAAAGGATATTTATATCTAAATGATATATATGAGAACTTCATGATCTCTTTTATATTAATTTCAACGAATCATCAGTGAACAACTTTAATTTCCTCCATTTCACGTAAAAGGTAATTGGAATGCCCGGTAAATGTTCATCAGTAAATAACAAAGCGTGGCGGCTGTATTATTTAATCCCTCCACGATATAGGTAAATCCGATACAATTCACTTTCAATTGACAGCGTTTTTTCCGCGATTACAATAAGGTACTGAAGTGTTAACAGCTATTGTAGTATGCGCAATTTATGGTTAAGCTTCACACTGTTGTAATTTTAAATTATTATATCTATTTTTCTTATTATATTTATTTTATTTATTTTATATCTATTTTAGGTTAGGTATTTTATTGCATATTTATTATATATTTATTATATTTTTTTTTTCTAATTCTGGAAAATAATAAATGAAATAAAAATACGAAATAAAAAATTATTTTTTTATGTTTTATTAGTTTGAGATGAACAATCGATTATTTCACTAAATATAATATCTATTACTTACGATGCAAAATTATTTTATGATATAAAGTACTTTGTTTAAAGAATTTTTTTTATTAAATTAAATAAATACTATTCAATACTTCTAGAAATTATTTTATATTTTTCTCCTTTATAGAAAGAAAATTAATTTGTGATTAATCATGAATTAATTGCAAGAAATTAATATTTAAAATTTACATTAAAAATTTTTATCAAAATATATAATACCGATAATTTCGAAAATATATCAATATTATTTTTCTAATAGGAAATTAATAAATATAAATAAAAAATTGTAATTCTATATCACAAAAAATAAAAGTTAATATGATTATTCAGAACATTTAATAACAAAATTTATAATACAATTCAACGTAAAATATTACAATATTATGGAAATTACTTATACTTAAAAAAAATGGTTACATACATACATATTTTAAAAAAAATGATATATATACAAATTTATTTACAGCATATAATAGTTTTTAAAAATAAAATTAATTTTTATTTCATTCTTTATAACTAAAATAATTCGAGAGCTATCTTTTTATCAATCTTAAATAATTATCCGTCGGTTATAAATAAATCTAAAGAAGAATTTCAAAACATAATTAATATATTATAAACTTTTTCTATAAAAGAGTAATTGAAGAATATATAACTGAAATTCTATATGGCAAGAATGTTAAGAATGACATGAATGTATGACAAAAAAGCAATTTTAAAAAATCTTATTTTTGCCGCCGGTCGAAGCTCGACTAACTTCATACGTATGTATGTTTTACATAATTTTGATATTCAGAAATAAATAATAACAAAATACAAAATAAATACTTAAATACTTTTTATATTTTATGATCAGATATATATGTACATCATTTAATAACTAATATTAAGTAATATATTTTCAACTTTTTTTATAAAATATAATAAAAAATATAAAATTTGTTAGCTCAACTTTTAACTATTTATATATCATAATTTTAATTCTTTAGTAGCTTATGATTATCGTTTAACAAAAATTTAGATTTAGTGACATGAAATTTAGGTCTCTACATTGAAATTTACCGATCGATTAAGACTAATAGACGTACCGTGTCGAGAATGGCCGTGGTCAGGCCGGATCCAGTCACTAGCTAAAAGCACAATCCGCAGCTACGTGTTTTCGCGGGATGTTCACAACACTTTTCGAACTCAGCTCGACCAGCGATACTATTCGAGCGGCTCGATTCGCCACGACTTCGAAAACAGAGCGTTAGATCTTCGTTGAAACGGTCTCACTGATCACTGAGAATTTACACAGTTTAAAAACGAAAGTGGCGCGTTCGTAACAGAATCCACCACTGTAATGTTATTGCAAATGGATCTAAATGAACGCTTCTCTGGCACAGTAACGTCGAGGATCACGACGATGACGGCAACTTGCCGTTCACGAAAACACGGAGATTCGTGGTCAGCGATCGAGGACGAGATTCGAAAGAACGTGATAGAATGACTACGTCACGAGAACAACGCCGCTCTCTACCATCAACAGTGGTTACTTCAATGTTTCGGGTGGGCGTCTCGTTTACGGTGTTTATCGGTCGTTATCGCGGCAAACTGACCAAGGAAACGAGAAGAGGACAATTGAACGTGAGCGTCGGTGAAGAGGAAAGAAACACGTGCAACTCGAAAACAGGGGTGCAGTGACGCGTCACTGCTGCGGTGCGCGGCGCCCGATTGACCATCAGAGTCTGCCTTCCTTCATGCGAAGATCCCTGCCGCACGATTTCGGCACCCCCACCCCTTGCTCAACACACTCCCGTCTCGTACAATCTCCCTCTCTATCAGGTTCCCTTCTCTTTCCTTTTTCGCTTCTCTCTCTAACACAGCTAGGACTAAACCGACGAGGTTGCTGCGCCTCCGGGCAAAGTCGCCGAAGCCGAGGTGGCTCCGAGACCGACCAGCGTTCCGTTTCGCCTGAGCGTGTCTATGGGTGGAGCCAGTGATACGCTGGCGTGGTCGTGCCTCGTTTTACCGTTCAGCAAACGTACCGACACCATAAAGTGGGGGAAATCGAACAAGCAACACCGTGCGACGTCGCAGCGTTCTCGAGCCGGCATTCGCGCCAACAGAACGGTTTCAACGCGAGGATGTTGGAAATGGGCGGTGCTTATCAGAGGTGGCGCCCTTTGTCGTTGGACCGCGCCACAGGACGCCATTGTCTGTTGGCGGCGCAGCATCGTACGGCGTGCGCGACGCATGCCGACGCCTGACGTCGCGACGCCACTCTCGCACGCAACGCCGTCGCGACCGTCGTCATCCTTCTGCCTCTTTTCTCTGCCTTCGGCTAGCTGCTTGAATTTCAGCTCTGAGAGGTAAGTCGACGATCCGTACGTATGCGCGTGTGTTTGTGCTTCGTGTATATATGTTACTTTTACATGTGTGTTGAGTGTGTGCGCGGGAGGAGGGATACGCAATGTGGGTGTGTGCATAAGATTCCTGTATGAACGTGTGTCGCACTTTTGCCACTTTATTCGTTCTCTTTTTCTGCACTTTGTTCCCTTTCTTTTTCTTGCCACATATTTGTCCGTTTATTTGTCTTTTACTGTTTACCGTACTTCCTATCATTGATTAGCATTGTTTTATATACTTTTTTTGTTTCCTCTATACGTTGCACGAACACACGTGGGCTATTTTTAACGTAAAAGCAACACAAGAAAGTTTGTTAAAATGGAACGAGTGAGATTATGAAGAATGCGAGATTGAATAACATTGGTCGTCGGCTGCCATCTATTTATTACTTATATATATGTTTATATTCGCGAAGCTTTCAGTTTTCTTCATTAGTGTTCTTCGTCATGGAATACAACTGTGATAGAATTTGCATTATCACTGTTTTATACATTCAATTAATAAAAGAATTTAGATTTATTTACGATTCGTCTAACCTATAATTATTAAGTTTGTAATTGTGTCACGAGAAGGCAGCACATACGAAATAATTGTTCGAATATATTCGATCGTATCATAAAGTTATCTTTTTGTTATGAAACAGGTGGATCCAATTACATTCTAATTATCTAGATGTTTAATTCATTAAATTGATAGTCGAAATTCGAAAATACATTTCATGAAAAGAAAAAAAATAAAAAGAAAAAAGAAAATAAAGGATTATTAATGATAATGTGTTGTAATGACTACATATAGATTTACAATAAAATCGTAAATGCATTCCGGTTATAAATTTTCAACAATTGTTCCTTTCATTTGGTAAGATGCTGCAAAAGAAGAAAAAGTATATTTTCCTTTATCGTTAATTATTTTTATGCGTGTAAAAAACGATTCTATATAGTCTGACTTTTCTTATCATTATCTTTCTTTTCGCATTATTCAATGTCGGATGATTATCAATTTAATATTAATTATCATTTATAATGAATAGGTTTTTTTCAGGTCCTATCATTTTCTTAATCTATTGATTTAATTGAATTTTATTATTGTTTGTCAAATGATCAATTAAAATATTCTAATTAAGTAATGGAAGAAGACGGTTAAATATATATATATATAATTTAAATTTTTTTAATGAATAAACAAATATTACTATACACGATATTAGGTTTAAAAAATTCATACGTCCTAGAGATAAAAAATATAAAAGTTAATAAAAATAATACATTTTAATATATTTGAGAATATATTATTAATTTAAAAAAAATAAAATTTATTAAATTACCTAATATAAATATAAAAATGCAAAAATTTTGATCTTACTCTCTCTTTTCTTACTCTCTCAACTTCTAAAACATCAAAACAACGTAATTTATATTTTCTCGTGAAGTAATTGCCACTTCGTTAGAAAGGGCTATTTTCCCTCTTGCTAAAGACCAATACGGTTACGGTCGCGACGTTGTCCCATGTTTTTTCCTTAAACGAGTTTAGTTAAAAAGCCTGCACGGTTTCACCTACACGTGAGTGGTCACACGCCACCCAAACTTTCCAAGGGAAGAATACCGAAGACACACCACCAAGGACGGCCGATCTCACTAGCGACGCTACTTAATACGGGTACTCGACCGAGTGTGCAATTAATCACCGATCCGTGGGTAATTGGTGGCGGGGTACGGGAATCGATCAGGGACTGGAGCATCGACGTGTACACGGGCCATTCAACGAAAGTTCCGTCACACACCGTGTTTTACCCTCCGAGACATCCGGTTGAAAGTGTTTCGTTCAGAGGCTACTTGCGAGAAAAAACGGACATAATGGGTTCGTGGATAAATAAACGAAAATATGGAAGCATAAAGAATGTATCTAAAGAATGTATCGGTTCTTTTTACTAGATGAAAATGAACAAGTATCTATCAATAATTAATAATGATAAATATTTTTTTTATTTTTTATTATTACTATTGTTTGCTTTAATTTTACTAAATTTAATATGCTTCTATATTATAAAACTTTTATCGTGATAAGTTATTCCAAAATTAATTTTCTTTCTCTTTTCCTTACGATATAATATATTTAATAGATATAAATATATCAGAGATATATCAATAATTTTTTTCTTTCTTGAATTCTTAAGAAAACTAAGAATCTATAATGTTGGAATAAAACTTCTTGAGAATCAATGGAATTTTTGAATTCTCTTTAATCCATCCATAAATTATCGATAAAAATATAAAAAAAAAAATTTCCTGGAAAATCTTTCGAAAATGGATTTTAAATTTATTTATATAAATAAAAAATCTCTTTGTAAATACAATTTTCTTATCGAGTCAATCAGAGACTTTTCAAAGAGTAAAAAGAAACATCATAAGCATGAATAAGAAAAATGAGATAGTTGGACGATTACCAAATAACTAGATTAAAGTAAAACGAATAGATGGATAGCAAATTGATATACTTGTATAATTATGTCTACGTTTGAATGACACTTTTCATTTATTTCACTCGTTAATCCCACAACTGAGCACGTGAACCTCCCCATTAAAATACTCTGCGTATATTCAGATGCTTTTTCGTATTATATATCTTTTTTCTATAAATTGTTTGTATTCATTTCTGTTCAACAAAAATTCAAAATAACGATAATTATGTTCTTTCATCTTCTATTACCTCTTTTCACAGATTAATTTGTTTCCTAGAAATGTTAAGCCGAGATGCACTTTGCCTTTTTAACAGAATAGCCATCTTAAGTAAAGTATTTGCCGGTTGATTCAAACGATCCTCGTCAATATGCTTATGAGCTTTTAAGTTCTATTCGTGCGAAAATTCTAGGATTCTGGATTCCTTCAGAATGCTAAATAGACATAGTCTATGGTCGGTTGAAAAAATAGAATTCGTTGAAAAATTGTTTAATTGGATGAAAAATGATCGGTATGAGTGGAAAAAGAAAATTTTGCTCTGATATTTTTATTCTTTTCTTTCAATATCGTTAAAAAGATTTTATAATTCAAATTTAACTCAATTTGAATCTTTCTATAGATTCAATGCTAAAGAAAAAAAAAATTTTAATATCTTTTTTAATCTAAGTTTTTACTTGTTCATTTAACACTATCTAGAGAATTTAATTAAATAAACATTTAATTGAAAATAATAAATATTAAATAATAAATTTTTCGTGCTTCTGAATTAATCAAAATATTCCAAAAAAAAAAAAGAAAAAAGAAACTTCTTTTTGTCTTATAGTATTTCTAATAATAACATAATCCAATAAGTATCTCTGACCGTTTTCTACAGTTGTCATCTTTTCTCACGATCAATTAGCTACAGGTGGAGCTTCATTTAAAACGCACTAAACGAACTGCGATCGTTCAATCGTATTTGTGTAGGTGGGATTAGACGGCTTCCGTGAAACGCGGGTCAGTCATATCGTTGTCAGAATTTCAGCACGGCTTTTTCGTCACGCCCCTCGTGTATCTTTCAGCTTATCCAACGCGTACAATTGGATTTATCAAGTTAAAGTCGAAACCGACGAGTGTGCCATACGTTCGTGTTGCAACGACGATGACACGTACTGTTGGGACGCCGACTGATCCCCGCGATACGTGAATGTCAAACATCGACCGAATCGGGATGGCTTTGCCGTGGAAATTCCGCGCGTCACGTGGCTAAAAGTCTGGCCGAAAAGTGTGCCAAATCGATGCTAAATGGATCGATTCCTTGCAACGCTGCTCAATTATCCTCTTAATTTCTATTCATTCGTGTGTTTATACGAAGGATTTCTTCGTATAAATCCTTCTGTAAATCCTTCTATTCAAGTATTTTTATTCACAAATTTTATTTATATAAAGATTTTAAAAAAAATTTAATTCTTACCTTCGATACTTGATCGTAAATTTAATTGTCGGAACATTTTTTAAATATTATTCTTCTTTTAATTTTTATCTTTTTTTAAGCATTAAAATATTATACATGCATATCTGAAAAATACTCGTCTAAAACAGTATTATAACTCGTTAAATACTGCAGCACCGAGAACTTCCGATATATCCACCGGAAGCACACCGAGCCATGGATCCATGCCGCTCGGTCGTATTTCTCGTATAGGATTTGCCGCGTTATTTAGGTCGAATTTTCGTCTCGCGAGCGGTATCTCAATAATTAGGGAGCGAGCGTTCGCCATTTACAAGCTAGCGACTCTCGAAGGCAAAGATATTTTTTTTTTTCCTCCCTCGTTGCACGGTCGCACGATCGTGAATGGAAAACTGTGGTGACTCTACGTGGCTGGGGATATCAGTGTTTCCGACTAGGTGAATTTCATATTCCACGGGTATTATTTGAACGATTAACGCGAATGGAAAAGCTCGTTGCTCCGGGCCCGCCCTCGTATTGTTGGCAACATTTTCAACCGAAGCATTTACAATTCTCTCTTTATTGCCTTTCGGCTTATCCGGATTGCGTTGGGCCGCGACCGAGCCGCGTTTCATTCTAATAATAACCATTAAGTTAACGAACTGCAACGCGGCTGTTTGAACACCGCTGGACACAGGGATTAACGTACCATTAATAAGATTATCCGCGTAAACAATAGATTGTCCATTTCCGACCTCCGGCCATCCGATTCCGCCGGATATATAATGCGAGCCGCAGGACTCGCGGTTTATCGAAAAACTCGATATCTCGCGGATCCGTGATAAATTGCAACTGTGACGATTCGTATTCGCGATATGCAAAGATATCGATGTATCGATAATGAAACGTGGTGGGTAAATTATTGTTAGAAATTAGATTTCGAAATTAATTTTATATATCGTGGCCGACGAAAATATATATTCGCGCATTAAAATAACTTTTTTAAAATTGTAACCAATTTTAAAAAATTTTCTTTTACACATTATTTTAATAAATTAATATTTTTAAAAAATCTTAA